ACCACCTAATTAACTGTCTAAGCTCCGTCACCATCTTTCCCTTTCAAACTGAGGGCACTTGCTTTTCTTCATTTTGAGACAGGCATAACCTACATATTGTGCCTCCAATAAGAAAATTTTGATGGAATTCAATTTGGAAGACAGTGATGGAGCAGCAGACACACTGCACAGTGCGCAGTCTACTATATGCTAAGGGTTTGTTGTGACAGGAAGAATTTTAACAATGTTAATAAATGGTTGCTGGGTAAGGCTTTTCCTGCTGTATTGTACTCTGAAGCTCACACTATTAATTTGCTGCAGGGTGAGAATGTGATACGTTTGTGGTTCTGCAAACGTATTCATACTGCTTTGTGTCTGGCAATGTTGACTGAAAAGGGTCGCTTTCCCTTTTCATGATTTAAACAGTACGCTTTAGAGCTCGTAAGAGGACAAACAATTAATTACAACAGGAGGAAGATGAAATGCTATTTTAGTATAGAACAGTTATGCCTAGGAATATTTCTGATAGTGAAGTATAAAAATGGCATACACCTCTTTTTACAGGTTAGATAAGTGTTCTACACTTTATAATTTTGGGACTTGTTTTTCATTATAAGTAATTCTTGACGCAACACTATATCAGCATACCAAAGGTGTACATGAAAGACGTTCTTGCTGATACATCACTATTTTAGTCAAACGGCTGCTGCTACCCGGATTGGCTGCCCTGTTTCTGCTGCAGAATTAATATTTTTCTTGGACAGACTAGAGTTGTATGTTGAAAATATATTAGACCCAGAAACATGATTTTGAAAATGGAACTTTATTTTCATGTCACAAAAAGTTAATGTGCTCATCTTGTCAAAATGCACCCAGGAGCACTTCTTGCCTGTAATTTAAGGCCTGAGTAGCCAGGTATCATGTATATAACAGAGCAGCATGTTCAGTCAAGAATTTCTTCATTTCAAGTTCATTTTCTTCAAATCTATGATAACGTGGCAGCTGTATGCAAATACAGGAATAGTCTCCCATTTCTCCTGCCTCCTGCAACATCAGGCAAAATGAATCAGAACACAGCTAAACTGTAGTGTAATATAGTGCAAAGATCATGGCCGGTTTAAGGTTAGGCTGGAGGTTTTATTTTAGTTTTTTATGTCTAAATCATATTGGATCAAACAAAATTTTGTGAAAGTATCACCACATGTCTGGGATCTGGATGAAGATTGGCACATTATTTTTATAAGTTATTAAATATCTAAATGGTCAATTTCAAGTAGTATCTTAAATCTTAAATTTGCGTAGGCTGCAAAGGAACAAGTAATAGGTTCATTCCATACTGATTCCATACTGATTCTCCACGCCTGAAACATTGTGTTTCTTAAATTAGACATTTACTGTTCAGAGGGGGTACCATCCTTCTTCTGTCTTGTAAAAGTACACAGTGATTTTCAAAATCTATCTACCTGAAACAAATTTGGATGCACCAAACTGAGCACCTGTTCATAAAGCCAGTTAAAAAGTTGTGGCAGTGATAGTAATTTATCTAACTCTTAATAAAAGGTATTTTTCATATATTTCTCTATAAATGAGAATCGAACAATTATTAAGGAAAACTTTTATCATATTCTAAATTATATTTACAATATAAAATTGAAGATTAAAGCTTTTTTTGAAGGCCTTTTCTGGACATTAAATTCTAATACGATAAGAGAGAACAATTACTTGATGATAATTTCAATAATGATCATTTTCCTGGTAAATTATTTATGTTGTATGACTTTGATAATATTTTAGATGTAGACATATTTTATGCGTTCTTTATAAAACCCTTAATTACTCTGTCCTGATATTTCCTTTAGGAAAGTTCATTCAGAAGTCACCAGTAGTGCTAATGTATCTCCAATTATTTATGTACACCCAGCTGAAGTAGCGTTGCATACTGGGTAGCAAGCCTTGGTCCTGGAGAGTCTCCATTCAGCATGTGTAATAAATGAATGTGCAATGAAATCTTCATTTTTACAGAGGAGATGTGGTAATTAAGCTGCATAACAGTTCATGCATCAACTCAAAGCCTCACGATCGTTGTCACTATTGGCTGGATAAAAACCATGTGCCTTGGAAACTAAGTCTAGACTTGCCTTGAGGTTTGCAATGTAATGCTTTGACATCCGAATTTTAAATCCCTATCCAAGCAGATTCATATTTATAGTATTTATAGTATTCATAGTGTCTTTGTCTTACCTTAACATCATTTTCAGAATTCAGTAAACTCTGAGAAAACTAAATGTATGCTATTTTGTATAAAAAAGTATGCTTTTTGTTTAAAAAAAAATTCTTATTGCTCTCTTAATAGTGATCACCATTTTTTAGTCTAAGTATAGGTAAATACATGTGAAACCTTATGGGATGCTTGAACTGAGAGTTGTGAAGTGTTACAGCTCTTAAATTATGAGGTATTTTTAGAACACAACAAATAATATAATCTAAAATAATAATATGACATAACAAATTATATAACAACAAAATTATGCAATCTATCAAAAGGCTGAATAATTTAAAACCATTCTCTCAATAAATTGCTTCTTCAGCCCTAATTGGAATGTATTATGTCCTGCAAATACTATTCCACCTGTCAAAAACACTTTTATTTCTACTTATATCTCAGGGATATACAGTATAAAGAAGCGAAATCATGAAATTGCCTCCAAAATTAGTTCAATGTTATGACTCCCTTGTGTGTAAATTTCAGCTTGACATTATCATTGCCACATCATTTTAATTACCCACTGAAAGTAATAAAGCTAAAAGTAATCCCTTGATAGCTCATAGAATATCATGTTTAGTCACCAAAAGTATTTCATACAATTCTTTTGATGTGAATATACAGTAAGACTATAACTAGAAGTTTTAAATATTACTACCCGGTTGTGAATTTCGGTGGGTGTATCAGCCAAGCTTTCAAAGCTGTTAACTTCAAAAATTCACTCTGTTCATTCAAGATTGAAAAAGGATAGTGCCCTCATAAATACATAGTACTAGGAACTGACCACTTAAATTTCAGAGTTTTCCATAAAATTGCTTTCACTAATACTCTATGTGCCATTGTTCATTCATTTATGATATTTACAGTGCCATTAGCTTGTTGAATTGGCACAGAATAACCCTAGTGTTTTATCTCCTTGTTAGGAGCTAAACCCTGCAGACATATTCCGAACAGCCTATACTTTAACATTTATAGTTTCTGATGAAGAATGGTCCAGTATTGGTGTGTAATATTGCGAACTGTGAACATTTTTCAGGACTATATTTATGTGGACCATAAACATATTTTAATGGCTTTAAAATATTTTAAAAAGTCAATTTTTGGCAATTAGCTGCCCAAGAAATGAGGACAACTGAATCATATGCAATGTTTGTGGAAACTGTCCTACTCATGTCTGCATAGGATATCTGTAGCTTCCAGTATAGTGTTCTATATCCATGATCAGTACTGCGAAGATAGTTATTTGATGTTAAGTATTTGATAGCTGACATGTCTTCAATGAAAACAAAGGTTTTCATTGAGGTTTTGAAAACATAGTCATGATAACAAATAAGAACCCAGAACCACTATAATAAATATTTTAACATACTGTATTTAATCAATGGGGTTGGACAGTACGGCTGCATCAGCATGCGTTAGCTTCAAAGAAATAAGTAAAGGTTAATTCCATGCTGAAAAGTAAAAAGAGGAAACACTACATTTCTACAGGTGTAAGAATAAGACACCTGCAAGAGACACCTCCTGAATGGCTCAGCAGCTGAAATGTTGCGTTTCTGCTTTGTACTTTTCAGCACGGGATTAACCTTCAGTTGTTCCCATACAGTATATTTACTGAAAACAATTAACTGACCATTTAAAATAATTTGTAGCAGTGACACTAACAAATGGTCTTGTAGGACAAAAATAGTTGTGAAAGTCTGTGTTTCTCTCTTATAAATTACATTGACATACAGTACCGCTGTATATCATATTCATAAAGTGGTGAAACCTTGAAGAATTATGAAAAAAGAATATTACTGGATTTGAAGGAACAAGTAAAAGTTTATTCCATGCTGAAAAGAGAAGAGAAGAAACACAACGTTTTGGCTGTGGAGCCTTCTTCGGGTGCTGAAACGTTGTGTTTCTTCTCTTTTCGGCACGAAATAAACCTTTACCTTTTCCTTTGCAGCCTACGCATGCTGATGCAGCTACCTACTTGAACTATTATTAATTTTGGCTGGAGTAAAGCTTGATTTCCTTATTTATTGTTTTTCTTTCACTGATGTCTTTTACAATTATTTCTAGTTGTACTATAAACTGTGGTTTCACAGGTTACAGCAGCAGCTTGATGTCACACATAACCTTTTAGTCCTGTCAGTTTTGTCAGTTCTAGCCTATTTTTTTAGACGGTATGCCCTTTTCTAGAGGTAATGGTAAGCATTCTTAAGGAGGGTTTGAAGTCTAACTTGAATTGTTGGCCTGTCCCTGCTGGCACAATGTGCATAGTTCTAAAAACTGTAATTGTAAATGAAAAAGATAGAAGAAGAAGAAAGCTAAACATTGTATGCATATTTTACTTGATAACTGTTTGTTCAATAAATAATAAAGCCTTCATGATATTTGTTATCCAGAATTGACAAATTTGTTTTGGCTAACATTTTTAATTTACATTAACATCACAGTATGTGGACATTTGGAAGACAGCAGTTCCTTTAAAGGTTCTTTAGTGTCTTTGCTGTGGGACAGAACCTTGGTTTAACACACATTTTCCCAGTTTCCACGCATCTACAGCTTAAGGTTGTACAGAAGGAATAGATGGATTCACTTAAGCCTTAACTGCATCAATACACACTTTTTTTCCATGTGTGAATCTGTAGGCTATAGAGTTTATTACATAAAGAGACATAGAAGCATGCTAGATTTCAGACCCTGGAAACTAGAGCTGGGCTTTCACGCAAAAGATAGAATCAATACAGTAACACATTTCTCCCAATTTCAGAAGCCCAGGCAGAATCCTGTCCTGAAGGGAGATTCATGCTCCACGACTCTGGGCTCTCATGGATGAAGAAGAAACACAGAGGAACGAGGCAACCGAGCAGGCTGACGAGGTAGGGGACCCCCAGAACGATGTCGACTGCGGGCCGAGCTGTATGAGCCCTCAGGCGCCGGATGAAAACGAGAACCGCCTGCTGGCGTCGCCCACTGTGCGCCATCGCGCTCAGGAAGACACGGTCAACAACAACGAGCCCAGATCTGCAGGCCGGACCAGCAGCACTGAGGAGACCAATAACAACAGCACACCCCCTGAGCCGGCCAAGCAGAAGGGGGACTCGTCAGAAGGCAGCAGGAGCAGCAAAGACACAAAGACAAAAGACTCAGGTACTTTTTCTGTTGTTTTGTTTCTCGGTGGCAAAGTTTTCATCGGTGCAGGTTGCCTTTGGACTTCGCTGTTTAAAAGAAATTAGCAGTGAATGTTAATTTCAATTTTCTTGTTAATGTTCTGTAATGTCCCAGCTATTCACTTTTACTCTTCAGAGGCAAGCAAGCAAAAATGAGTCTCTTGTACTGTAAGTTAGAGAACTGGTATGTGTGTGTGAACAAACGTACTGTACCAATGGTTGAAACTATTTTCATCCTGGTATGTTCTATTTAACAAGACTGCCAGATCTTGTGTCTGAACGTCAGATGCATGTTTTTCACTGTGTAATTCACTTCGAGGTTCCTTATATGCATCAATTGCAAACTGGGAAAGGTGGTGGGTGCGAAAATACACAATAGTTTTCTCAGTGTTCACTGTGTTTGAGACCGTTCCATTTAGTATATTGAAGTGGAGAATTACAGTTAGTCTTTGGTTTCTGCTGGATTGTGAAGATTCTGATTGAAAGGTCAGATTCGGAGCACTGTGTTTATTTCTGCTTGTTTTTGGTGCTTTTAAAGCTTGTTTGTGTTAGCAGGAGGTGCTCTTGAGAGCTGCACTTCGGTGTCTGCAGACAATATCACCACAGGTGCTGAAAGCTCAGGCAAAGACGAAGGCATCCCGCGTGAACCCTCCTGTCCCCCTCAGAAAGGATGGTGCGGTGTTCTGCAGCCCCTGCTCTCATCTCTCCAGAGCCTTGGTGAAGAGAGTGATTACACCCAGCTGCCCCAGTGTCTTCACCAGGTCTGTCTGTCTCAGGGCTGCTCTGCTACACAGCCAGCGCAGTATGGACGTGTTCATATTGGTTATGGTGCAGTTTTCCAAAACCATGCCATATTAATAACACCTTGGCATACGTGCTGTTACAACTGATGAAAGAAGGGTCCAGTATGTTGTAATAAAAGATAATTGTTTTCTATTCCTAAAGAATAGCTTCCATAGCTTCCGATTTAAGAATCCTGAGTTTTTCCACATTCAACATTTTAAAAAATTATACTTGCTAATACAATACATGTCCTTGATGAAACTGTACATTAAAAAAATGAGACCAATGTCTCACTAGAGTTTTGCCTTAATGGGTTAGACTCTTGTGTCTAAGTCTTGGCAGACTAACAGAATCATTGACCTAGACAACTAATCTTAGGTATTTTGTATTTGTGACACATGAGCAGAGACTGCACAATGTAACACTGTACAAATAAAAGGTTTAATACTATATATGGAAACATCTGTATTGTTGGAATCCTTTTCTTTTTTTGAAACCTGTACATGGATATTTTTATAAATCCATGCAAAGCGACCCTTATGCCAAATAAGCTTTGTATCTCTGGTGTCAGCTGGAGTTCGGTGTTTTCCTTATTACCTGGAGGCTGCCATGTGTTTTAACCACCTGCTTCCAGACAAAGAACCCTGAAACAATTTATGCAACATTTAGCAATGTTGTATCTGAAACTCCGTCTGTGAAAACATTGCTAATCCCGCTAATATAATAATGCAATGCTGACAAAATAGGGGGACACATTTACTAGAAGTATGTTATTGTGCTGTAGTTAAGGAGTACAACTGATAGTTCAAGAGTTAAGATTATTATTATGATATTCTTATTCTTATTCTTATTCTTATTCTTATTCTTATTCTTATTGTTAGCTCCAAAGTTAACAATTGAATATTTCGCCATCATATGATCGGGCCAAATGCTGAAATCCTGTTCCAGCAAATGGTCTTGGTATCAGCACTGTAGTCCCCAGCACGACAAGTGTTTTGTGAAAAGATTGTAGGTAACAATAATGTGCAAATGACTTGGCCTTGTAATTTAGTAATGATAAATTCCAATGGAAAGCAGGTGACGGGCTGGTTCTCTGGCTTTGTTTACACCGTGACCTGTGAGAGCAGTCACTCCACCTCCTTTAGTTTTTTGGTAACTAATAGCAAAGTACTGGAATACCTGTTTTTCATCCAGTATATAGTCCAAAAAAAGTCTTCCTTGATTTAGACTCTATAAACTCAGTATCATACAGTTATATGTTTATTTTATAAGCCCCCTTTTATATTATTTGGGATGAAAGGCACTATACAAATGCAAGCGGTTCCTACTATTACTACTATTAGCTCAGTTACTCAGAAATAGATACTGTGATGATTTACAGAAAACAAAACAGTATTATTCCCTTATTTTATTCTTATTACTTGTAATGAAATGTGAACTAATGAGGAAATCATAAGAGCCGCTATAATGAGTGAATAATGAATCTCATCTTGCTGCTCTCAAAACATTCTGCATAAATTCCCCCTGTCCACCACAATATCCTTCTGCTTCAGAATGAAATGCACCCAAACGGAAAAAAAAACAGTTCCCTCTGTAAGCATCACAGAGCAGTTTGGTGTGTTTCATATTGAATGGATTGACAGAATGTATAGATAGAAGTTTTTATACCTATATGGTCCTATGAATAACAAAAGGTCTAGAAGATTTGAAGATTGACATATATATTTCATCATGCAAAGTGTCACATGCGTAGTATTTATCTCCTTTTATCATATCACACTTTTGGGTGAAAGCAAGCAAACTCTGGGTCTTCCTCTTTGTTAGTACAAGGGTTGTATTGTATTTTCATCCATTAACAATTTCTAATATTTAATTGCAAGTGGGAACTCCAACTCTAAAGTGGCTGTGTGAAAACAAATGACAAACATTAAAGTTTTGCTCTCTCTTTTTTAATTATGACAATTCCTCTCATGCAGAGGTCTGGAAAACAAAATAGTTTGTGATCGCTTGTTGTTCTTGTTCATTAAAATGTTGTCTTTAAGAGTAGTTTTGGATAGACTCATTTAGCAGAAAAGGTGAGGGTTTTTTTCAACTGGCTTTGGCCAAAAGTAGGTTTTTGTAGCACAACGTCTCCTAGGTTTACTAGCTTTATTTGTCTCAGGCACCTGCGATAAAGTAAATACATGTACATGGAACAGTTATAATTATACCCTTTTTAAGCAGAAGTGTTTTGCTGGTAACGACCATTCACCTAAGGGAACCATCAGCCTTATTTTTCAGCAGCAGCCCCCTTCACTTACATTACAAGCTATTTGCACACACATCACAATAAAAGCCCAGTTGGAATGCCGGCTATCCATTCTATAGCCCTGCAAATATAGCTTAAAAGTGTCTTGCTCAGCAGGGGATGTCTTTTCATCGCCACAGTACATATTGGGTTCAAGTGTTGAGTCACAAAACACCCCCATATGCTGTAGGTGGTATTCACGAATGTGCATATCAGTAATGATGCTGTTTCTAATGGTAGGATCTGAAGAAAAATGGAGTTTCCTTTAGATCCTGCTAGAAAATTTAAAAAAATGTGCTTTTTGAAACAGTTATTTTGATTACAAAAAATGTCTTGAGACAACTTACTGTAGGATAAAGCTGTTAAAACCTAAAGAAGAATGGTCACACTCCCACAAAAGAAACTGTTTGTTTCTGAGCTTTTCAATAATTGTAATGGTAATTCCAGCCATGGTTTGAAGTGGTACTTGTAAAGTATGTACAAATTCAGCTCTTCCTTCAAAGTAAGCCCTTCCTTCTGGCACAGCCTCCCCAGAGACCCTGGGCATCTTGCAGAGGCCTTGACAAGGCACTTCATATTTATGGAAACATAGTTATTGCCATTAGCAACAAAGCAGAAAATGGGGGCCTTTGAGCTCAGCCCCCCACATCATTAGAAACATAAAGGAGTGTATTTTCACTGTGTTTATCCTGGAGATGCACATGGGACAGGTTCTTCTGGAAGGGTGATGTCTCAGATGAGGACATATCAAAGTTTATTGTACCACATACAGTAAATGGCAGTGTTAACAGTAAGGAGATCCATGTCTGCATTGTACTATATGAAAATAAGTGTTTTACTGCGTTTTTGTACTGTAAATAATGTGTCCAGTTTTTTAACCTACAGTAATCACTGGTTTGTGGTACACTCTCATCCTAATTAGTTTTAACATATTTTATTCCTTTTTCGTTTGTTTTTTTTAGATAGCCGAGACCTGTTTCTGGGAAAAAGACTGTATCCTTTCATCTGTGTTTCTACAGAATTACAAGTCAAAGTGGAAGAACGATGTTTGTGTGCTTTTTCCTGCTTTCCTGATAGATCTGGATGTTGTAGTACAAAAGATAGCCTTTACCTTTATGGATGTGTGGAGAGGAAAAAAATATATTATTAATGAGGAGGTAAACCTGATAGTGAATGAGTTGGATTTCATAGATAAATGCGATGGATTAATGACATTATAGTTCTCCATAGCAAGTCATGAGTAGCTGTGATCAAACTTTTGCAGATTATGATGAAAGTGCATTAAAGATTACTAAATGACAAGCTTTGGAAACCACACCATTTGTTTAGCATATGTATTTAACTCGAAGGCATTAGGCACAAGTGGAAGTTGTTTCATAAAACCATGAAAAGGAGGAACTTCTTTTGTGGAACACAGGTTTTCTGTGATCTTGCAGAAGATCTTGCAGAAATTCCATGAAAAACTTCCCTAAAGTTCCTTGGTAATTCGATTGGTGAAGGGCTTTCTGTTTTCTCTAGCTGATTTGGTGGGACGTGGTTTGCTGTAGTGGGTGCTCTCTTCAGTGATAGATGAAGCAAAGTATAGACTCCTACTGTATATGTCATATGCTTTGGGATTCTTTGAAAAGGAAATTTTAATAATAATAATTCCCTCTTTAAGTTCGATTTTAGTAAAAGGTACGGTAATACATGTCTCACAAAGTCAAGTACAGATGAGAGAGACCGCAGCTTTCTTTTGCTGTGCTTTTATTCAATTTATATATGATAAGTCTCTCTCTAGTTAACCATATAAATAAATGTCTAACTTTTATTCGCCTTTTTTCCTGTGTGAACTGAACTTTTATAGCACAGTACCGCTTGCCTTTGACTTTGTGTGAACTGCAGATGTCTGCTCATTGTTTTTGAAACAACCATGGTAACTGTTAGTCAACACAGAGATGTCTTAACTTAACTTTCTTAAGAAAGTATCAGAGGAATATGTCAGAATGTTTATTGTTGTTAATAAAATGCAGAACAGCCAACCACACTGATGTAGGGAAAAAAATGATGTAATATTCCTTTTTAAATCTGTCATTGGTTGGAGTACAAAGATAAAGCTTATAAAATTCCAAATGTTTTCTAACATGCTTCCCAGCACTCCCCCCAACAAACTGATAAATCTTTCTGAAGTAATCTTTTCTTCTTTAGTGGCATTAGACTTAAAGTGTAAAAGAAGGACCTACAGAAAACCCTTCACCCTTTGCCTGCTCTGATGCTTGCTGTGCTCTGTCTTAACCTTTGACACAGTCAGACTCTGAACATCATCTGCAAGAGAGAACCTGAATATAGGTGCAGACCTTAGCTGAGGCTGCCTGCTAGTCAAATTTGCCAATTTCCTTAAATAATTTTATGTAATAAGCATGAGCATTCTTTTGATTTTCTTTTTCAGGATTGAGATTTTTTTTAATTAGCTGTCAGAGAGAGTTTCCTAAAAGAACTACAGTTTTGAGCATGTAACAAGAGGTAACACTGAATCCAGTTCATTTTAATTGCAAATTTTTGTATTTTCCAGTTCAAGCAGAACAGAGTTCTTAACAGGAGGTATAAAGACTCTCATTGTCTCTCCCTTCACCTCATTGCACTCTGTACAAAGAAGTCTCAGTACCTAAGATGATAACTGTCTTTGTTTGCTGTACTAGTTCCCACTTGCACCCAGCTTTAGATAACCTTAGACAGCTCTGCTTTAGGACTGCAGATGGAACCTGTTGCCTTCTTTCTTTAACATCCATTTCAGATGAAAAAGCTCTCCAGTTCATTCAACTGGAAAAACTGTATCATGAGCAAGTGCTGTCCAACTTGTCAGCTATTCAGAAGCAGTGGGGTATGTAAAAGTAATTCCTCTGTGTTTACTGGTTTCTCTGCTTGCTGGTGTAGCACATACTTAGCAGTGCTGATTTCTCACCTCGCCCCCTGTTTTGTCTTGATCTGTGCCCCTAAAAACAATATAGAGGACTGGGTTGTGAATGTCACTGACCCTTCAACAGACTGACACAACAACACACAAAGGGTGGGGGAAGGGTGGGGGAAGCATTTGCTTTCTGTACAGAGACTAAGAAGATCCAAGACGATGTGAATTCAATGGGATGTTTCACCAGCTACAGATATTTTCTTTTAATCCTGATTATGCTAAACTTTATATTGAATATATTTGACAAAGGAAATGATACATGGCATTTTCTTCAGAATATAAGGTGAATTACAGTGGTCTGTATCTAAAGTTAAACTTACAGTATAAGGGTCTTCCTTCCAGTCAGACTGAGAGACTTCAGCTACTGTACAATGTAGAAAGCTTGTTAAAAAAGTAATCATACTCTAGGTTTAAAAAAGGCAGGCCTTTCTTCGGGAAGAGGATTTGATCATTTGTAATCTGATTAGCATAGTTTTTCTTTTTTGAGAGGAGAATGTCTTAAGAACTTTCTGTAACAGGAAATAAAAAAGGAAATGCAGAAAATTTGACTGTAGATAGTTTTGCCTACTCACAACTTCATTAGTCGATTATTTGCAGTCCCAGAACCCTCTGAGACCCCAGCTTGTCTGCACAGTGTGACACAGTACTCTGGCAGGAAATTGTGAATCTCTATGTACAGATGGAATAAACCCTATGCATACAGAAGCAATCTTTTTTAGTTACTAAATGAATTTACTTTAAAATGCTAAATTACTTTAGTTACAGAAGTCTTCTAAGCCTACTGTGTGTATCAGTTGACTACCATTTCAAGAAAATAGGTTTTAGAACAAGCAGTGAATGTTTCTGTTTTTTTATATGTTTGTTGTTGTTGTTGTTGTTTTACTAGAAATAGTGCCTAGGGCCTTAGATATCTCTAAATTATTGCTGATTAGCCCTTACCCTGTGTGTACTGTAAGAGGGGACAGAGCAAAACCACTTATTCTAAGTGGACAATTAATTGTACTCGTCTCTTGCGGTTTTATTTGGCAGTGTAGTATGATAAAATCCATGTGTACCAGTCAGACAATGCTATGAGTTGTCAGTGTGGTGTCTTGTCAGAATCAGGTTTACAGCGTCCACTGACGTCCAAAGGAGAAGGCCGTTATTTATTAAGTTTTCTGTTGCTGCAGGCCGTAGAGCTGTATGATTTTCTGCATGTCTCCTAATGAGCCTTTGGTGGTTTCAGAGTCCAAATGGAAGGTTGCTGCCTCCCCAGACAAGAAGAAGGGTGGGGAAGACCTCAGGGGCTCCGAGGGTGAAGACCTGGCGGCACTGCGGAAACTTTGTCAGACCCACCAAAGGTAAGAAGGAGTTCTGCTGCGTGGACTGTCTGGAGCAAGCATGGATACAGTTATCAGTTTGCTATGGAAAAACATTTCCTGCATCCCGAGGCTAAGTGTGTACTAAGAAATTGTGTTTTTTAACTAGATTTTCATTTTAGGAAATTAATTTCTCTCTGAACGGTTGGTATACCTCTTTTATTTCGGGTGGTATTAAATAAGTTTATTTGTACTCTGGACGGGACAGTGGCATGGCAGTTAGTGCTACTGCCTCACAGATCTTGGGTCCTCGGTTCTGTGACTGTGTAGAGTTTGCACGTTCAGCCCCATGGTCGTGGGTTCTTGCCAGATGCTCTGCTTTCCTATCACAGTTCAAAGATGTGCTGCTTAGGTTAGTTGATGTCTCTAAAGTGTCGAGTTTGAGTGGGTACTCTAGGATAAACTGGCATCCCATTCAGAGTGCATCCTGCCTTGCGCCCATTGTCTATCAGAGTTGGGCTCCAGCTCAGTGGGATTGTGTATTGAACTATGTTATTGAGAATAATTGAATGGTAATTAATTATGTGATTTTTATGTGTATTAAAAATCAAATAGAGTGAATGTCAGCCTGTAAAATCCTTGGTGTTTTTTTAAGATATTGTATCCAGACAGTTATAGCTCTGTTTTTGCCTGCAGCTTCCACATTAAAAAATGCATGCCAGGCAGCGAATGTAACACTTCTTACTGTGTAAAACAAGCAAGGAGCCTGGATTTGTCAGTTGTAGAAAAACATACAAAAGTCTAATCCTCAATAAAATAATAAAACACACAAAAACGCAAATTGAGATGATTTCGTAACTCCTGGAAAAACTGTATACAAGTTTCAGTCAGCATTAGAAGTGTTTGAACCTTTATACTTATTTAGATTTGGGAGCCACTGTGTTTTTTCTTTCCCCGCGAGTTAAATTTTTCATCACCCATCAGAAATGCATAATTAGTCGCTGCTTGGAGAGTATGTTTTTGTTTCCAGGTCTGCTGTATTTATGCTCAGCCCACAGCAAACCTCACCTCAGGTCTGCAGCAGCCCTCTCTCCCACCAGACAAACACCAGCCCTGATAAAGGATGCCTTTGTCCCAGCCCTGCTCCTTCAGCCCAGCTTTTTGTGCATCTGATTGTCGCATGTGATGACGATGATTTAAACATATGGTCTATTGCTGTGCTTTAAGCAATTTGAGACAAGTGATAAGGTTTCAACATGGGAAATGTGTTGTGCTAATATTAGATTGCTAGCAGGCTTCAGCCTACCCGCTCTTTCCATTTTCCTTTATTTGCGTAGAGAAAATTCCTAAAACGCAGTACTGTTTCAGCGAGTGAAATGGACTCACTTTGTTTCTTCTTCTTTGCAGGCCCGCTGTCAGTGTCGAAAAGGTATGGGGATTTCTTCTGTTGCTTGTGCTTTTGCTTCATTTCCTTTTCACAGATAGAGCACTTTTCCTACTGTGTTACACGTTGAGTTTTACATGTCGTTTTAGGCCGTCGCTGTTGGGAGTATTCTGAAAAACAAGCTCATTACAGGGAGGGTTGCTACAGACAACGACAAGCCCAACTCCAGACTTACTGCAAGCACGTCAGGTAATGTGTTTACCTGTTCTTCCATGAGCTGTGGCACCTAAGAGATTTATCTGTGTGATGCAACATGTAATCAAGTTGTCATTAGAAACATAACTGTGTTCTTCCTGCAAGATGACTGCTTAGGATTTAAAACCATTCGGTAACTGTCAATTCTTTCAAGGTGATACATTTGGGTAGGCTAGGTCAAATAGCTTGAGTTCTGCATGAAAACTGTAAAAGTTTTGTTGCTAACTACTGTCCTCAGTTTTTACCTGTACGCATTAGTTAGCAGCAACAAAAGACCAGTTTACAGCACATTGTGGATGCACTGTAGAGATCTAGCCTTTTTGTTGCTCAGAAGGGGAATTGATAATAAATTGCATGTATATAACAAAGCGCACTTCTTTGGGCCTTGCACTGTAAGACAGAGTAATATAAGCTGGGCTGCATGAGGATGATCACAGAAACTATGTGTCTCACGCTTTTACGCTCGTCAAAAAAGGACTCTCCAGCCCTCAGAGTGATCCGTAATATAATATCTTCGACCATGTCTCCCTGTTCCCACTCTCTTGTTGTGTATCCGTGAGGCGGTCCACCAGCTCGTGAAGCAATTGACCCGTTTGAGCCAAGAGCTCGGGGAGTGTCTGTTACCTGAGGTCAGCGAGACAGCCATTGTGTATGACGGGTTTCACTTTCACCATCCTGTTCTTTCCTGGATAGCCATCTGTCGGCATGGGTCGTCAGCTGGCACATCTCTATCTGCTGAATGTCTGCTGGGAGGAATACAGATGAGAACACATGGCCTGTTTCTGTTCTCTAATTTATTAAACAGACAAGAATGCCACTATTATTCTCAACCCACATTTAAAGAGGCAGCTAGTGGCTTGTTCTATGTTGTGTGGGGGAAATCCTTTCAGTGTCTGGGCACATTCCAGTGGGCGGTGTGGCGAGCTAAGGACAGGGATGATTACAGTGGGTCCAAAGGAGGGGAACCCAAGACAGATGACAAGGCTAGACTATGTTGTTTCATAGCCAGGAATGTAGCCTTTCTAATGACAGCAGTGTGGAGCAGTGGGCAGGGTTCTGGACTGGTAACTGGAAGGTTGTGGGCTCAAATGCCGTGTGAGACATTGCTGTTGTACCCTTGAGCAAGGCACTTCACCCAGACTGCTCCAGTAAAACACTCAGCTGTACAAATGGGTGCAAATGTAAGTCACTTTGGATAAAAGCGTCAGCCAAATCTATCTGTAGTCAAACATCACATCTTACTGACTGTAAAAAGCTTTTTTTGTTGCTTATGGCCTTGATTCCTATGTTCCTTTGCTTGTGACAATCCGAGTGACCCAGCTGTTGATGTGGTTGAAACTCAGGACACAGACAGGAGTGTGTTTCCAGAAGCGGGAATTATTGCCAGGCAGACGGCAATCATTCCCGCACCACAGTCTGAAACCGGAGGAAGTGTCCATAGTGCCACGTGGTGCAGTTGTGATATCAAACTGAAGGGATGAGAGTACAGTGGCAGAACCTTATGAACAAACGCAACATTGAAAGCACTTTGCTCCAGGGAGGATTTTGCTCTATATTTTCTTTTAAATCCCTAAAAGTATTTTTAGTGAAAAAACATGAATATTAGGAATTCTGTGAAATTATCGTTTCAATCGGGAAATGAAATGTGAAATCTACTCTAGAAGAAACAGCTTTGAAAATCCCTCTGATAATCTTTAAACCATATAAGATAAACAATAGTAATGTACTGTATCTTCCTTTGTTTTGCATGCTAAACAGAATAAAGGCCCTTAACTGTAGCTGTTAGAAAGGAAATACTGTAGTTTGACTGCATATACTGTAGGTCATTAGTACTGGTGTAAACCTATAGCACAGACAAGATGTGTGAAAGATTTTTACACTCCCGAAGAAGGCTCCACAGCCGAAGTGTTGTGTTTTCTTTCTTCTCTTTTCAGCATGGAATAAACCTATTATTATTTTTAGTTTTATCTGTGACATACTGTGGCATTTACAGTACTGTAAACATTTTTTGTATCAGGACCATATCCCAACTCTTGAGTAACAAAAAATGAAATGCCTAAAAATATCTTGAAAGGATTGCTGCCAACGAGAAGTCAAAGATGTTTATTTTTCGGTTATCGCTTACTTTGCATTTAATTTCTGGTCTACTTTCTTTTGGTAGTTTTTCAGGTCGCAAGGATTTTCAGAGATGCTCTGCAAATTGCATAGGTGGTCATTCTAAAAAACCTTTTTCAGAATGTTAGAAATGAAGTTTTCTTAGGTGTTAGTCATCGATACAACATGGTGAAGTAATGATGATTCATTCTGTACTATTAAAGCTTTAGCATTTGGTGGCCATGATATTTTCACATGACTTAACAGTAACTTAACAGGACAAAGGGCATTATTTAGCTCTGTGATGCCACATTAAGGATGCATATAAAAACAGGTTGCATTGCATTTTCATGGGACTCACAATGATTTTGCTTGGACAAAGTGCAGAAAAACTGAAGAAACTAATTTAGAAAACGAACAACAGTATGCATTTTGTGTGCTAAATAGATGTACAGAAAAGGTACATTACTGTATCTTTAATGTAAAATTACTGAGATCTGACTTTCTCTGTGGGCAAATGGTGAGTATATTCCCAATCTAATTCATCTACTCTGGAAAGAGCAGTTTATGTACATTAAAATCAGGCCCATTGTGTGTTAACCTACTATATATCCTGCGGCAGGTTTCTGTAAGCCTTATTTTATACAGTATGTATTGTATGTGGGTTTCTAAATTGTGAAAATGTCTGAGGAGGGCATTAAAATAACAGCGATTTTTTTTTCCACTGCTGTTACAAATATGAAGTTGTTTTCATCATATTGAAGGATGGTCAGATGTACTTATACTGCAAGTGAATGCCTTTAAAGAAAACAAAGATTGAAAAGTCCTTTTTTTGTAAAGGAAGTGAAAGAATGCATTTCCTGGATAAAACAAAAATATGCTTATTCTTGCAATATGTAAGGATAATTTCCTGTTCCTAAGTTAAATGTAAAAATCTTCTTTGTCATATTGAGACAAAACAAACTTCTGCATTGTTTTTAAATATCATGTTTTTAAAACAGTCAAAAGAAATTCAGTTATGTTATGTTTTGAGACACAGGTGTATTCCTGTACATTTATGTAGCACTCACAGAAACATTGTTTTCAGGTTATTAAGAATATTATTTTATTTAAATTACAATTGCTGTTTTTCTGTGCCTGGTGGCAGTAACACTAGAGATCATTTTAGTGTAATGTGCTAGGTGCCCTAAGTGAACATGAGAGAAAATAGTTTATTGCAGCGCACAAGGGAAGCAAACGGGGGTGAATTATTTAACAACTGGAGTCTGTAGTGGATGAGTCATGCAATGATGAATCCTGATCAATCAAAGATCTTTAGAGAGAGTGACAGGGAGGGGCCTGTCAGGGGCTGTAAAATAGAGAGCCGCGGTGCTGATTGTGCCTTCTGTCTCCCTTCCTTTCTCAGATAGTGTCACTGAGGCAGTCAAGCAGTTAGTAATGTCGGAAGGAGCCTTCGTTTCGGACAACAGGAGTGAGTCGGCAGGACATGGGGAGCGGGCTATGGAGGACAGTATCATGTCAGGCCACCAGGGGGAGCTGTCGCAACGTGCCGGCTCAGCTGCAGCCCCCAGCACACGGCAGGCCTCAGAACTGATTGGCAGGCCATGCTCTGACTCTTTGTTTGCTGATGGTGCCGGTGGTGAGGGCAGGCGTGCACAGCCAGCTGCAGCAGTGGTGGCGGCAGAGGCAGGGGAGCTCCCGGGAGATGTGCTGACTGCTGCAGAACCCTCCCAAGAGCGACGAGAGGAGAGGGGGGCGGGGGAGAAGGAGGAGGAGCCTTTGGATTCAGCACAGCGGCTGGACACCGAGCAACAGCAGGCCCTCCCCGGGCTGGCTGGTCCTGCATTAGTGAAATGTGAGCTCAGACAGCATGAGCATTCATCCTCCAGCAAGGAGCAGGCAGGAGATGGGGATCACAGCCTAAAGGAAAAGGACAAAGGTGCCCCTTTACCTCCCCGAAAGGAGGCCAGGGACCCCAGAAGCACAGAGACAGGGGATGAGCTGCCTGAGCCCAGGGAAATGAGTGAACTTGAGCAGGGTGAGCCTGGGGAAGTGGAGGAGCTGGAAACAGAAAAGGAACAGAGGCCTGATGAAGACCAGGACATCCAGCAGGGAGGGAATGATGAAGAAGAAGAAGAAGAAGACACTCCTGAGGCTGATCCTGTATCCTTAGAAGATCTGTCACCTGACTCGGAGGAGGACACAGCTTTCCTGGACACAGAGGGGCTCAGTGATGGCATGTCTTTGCTGGATGACTTAGCCAAGCGCATACAGATTGAAGAGGTAAGGGGGAGCAGCTTTCTTCCACATGTTTGCTGTCAGGTGCTTTTTTTTAACTGTTCATTAGTGCTTCAAGTCAGTTTCTTTTCAGTGTTAACTTATGTTATTTAGTGCAATTTAGTTTTCTACAACTAAATAAGATAGAGATTTTATGCCGATGTATTCACCTCGCCCTTTATTAATGGCTTAACTATGCCTGAGCTGTAAGATTACAGAGCATAAAATAAGACTCTGCTCTGCGTGATCCTTTTCCACTGCTAATAAGCTACTGGTTCCTTTATAAGACAAACGTCTTGCTGGATTATTCCTGCTCGTTCCCTTATCTTTGAGTAAATTGGAAGTCGAGATGATGTGAAAAATGTCTCCTCCCATCCATGGTTAGTTTATTTCATACAAAAGCTTGCATCTTATATGCATCAAAGACTCTTGCTTGTTTTCATGGATTAAAAATGTTTCACAATTCCTTCATTATGCATTCTGATTGTAATTCCACATACTGTATGACATATAGAAACAATGGTTTTCCTTTATCAAATATAGGTTACTTCAAAGACAAATTACTTTGAGAAACAGTGCATGACATTTGTGCTCCTATTCAGATTTTCTATATTACAGTACATAGGCTCACAAAACTTGGCAAATTGTTAAGAACATAAGAAAGGTTGTGCCTGTGATGAGGCCATTCTGCCCATCTAGTTAGGTTTGCTGATAGTAGCTAATTGATATGAAGATCTCCCCTGCTTCTCTTGAAAGAAGTAATGGGCAATATCATAATTGGGTAGCTTGTTCTAGACTCCTTCAACACTTTGCATAAACACGTGTCTTCTGTTCTCATTTTATAAATGTTTTTTTCCCTTAGTTTCCATTTGTGTCTTTGCATTCTTGTATCACTGTTAAGTCTGAAGCCCGTTTGGTTGACTTTCTAAGTGTTTTTGAGGATTTTAGATACTATAGCATCTTCTCTGTAGACTAAAAAGATTCAGTTCTTTTATCCTGTCAGAATAGGAGTTTCCTTTAAGCCTGGAAATGTATCTTGTTGATCCTCTCCAAACTGATTACAGAGCAGCAATCTCTTTTTTTTTAAGTGGTGACCAAAATTGTACACAGTTTTCTAATTCAAATCTTAGTCATGCATTGTGCAATTTTATCAGTCTTTTATATATATAATCTAATGCCTATAACTATACATCCTAAAATTCTGTCTTTTTTATTGCTTCCCCAAATTGTCTTGAGAAAAAACTAATGTATTCATGTAAACTCCTAGGATTTGTGTAGTAGTAGCTTCTTCAGGCTCAGTGTTTCCCTTTTTATATCATTTTTACTACCAACACTCTGCACTTGTCTACAATAAATGTCATCCATTGGTCAGGGTTTTCCCAGTTTTTAATTTGTCTTAATCTTCTTGAGTTTCTTTTGCTGCTTTTACAGTGTTTGTTAATGTTTTTGGTATCATCTGCTAACTTGACTGGTTTGCCGACTGGGCTAGATCCTAGATCATTGATGTACTGTAAATTAGGAAGGTCTCAAAAACTGTTCCCTGTGCTAATCCACTGATGTTTTATACTTTACGTAATGAGATAATTCAGTCAAAAAACAAATTCTCATTTAAAACGAAGACCTGTATACGGTTATTACCCCACTGTTGCACTAAGGGTAAAGCAGTAGAAGATTGAGAAGAATCAATTTAATTAATCAATTAAATATCATAAAAGGACAACACAGAAAAGGAAATCCTTACATTAAGCAAATTCTACTTTAAATTAATATATACTGTATATATGTATTCGTATGATCTTAACATGCAGAAGTTACATAGTTATAATGTCACAGTCAGGTGCCTCAGCCAGTCGCGGCTGGCATCATCCAAATTGGTGAAGCTGCCGGGGCACCTGAAGCGAGGACAGGAGTATAGAATCTGGCCGGCTGTCTGCTCCTTGCCATCGGCGCATTCGCAAATTTGGTTTAAATTAATTATTACTTGAAATAACCTAAAATGTATCTCTCATCCCATGCAGATGCCTTCCTGTTGTCATATAGATCCATTATGTATACTTCCTATTAATGTTTCCATAAATGTAGACATTAAACAAGACTTACTGGCCTACAGTTTTGGGAGATTTTGTCTCCCTTTTATGGATGGGTCCTACATTATCAGTATTCCAATGAATGTATATTAGCCATGTCGGGGGAGTATTCTTTTCAGCCCTTGATAGCATCTCTTGTTTTCTTAAGTACAATTGCTGGAATAACCACAGGCCTTAGAGATTTGTCTTAAGTGCTTCTACTAACTACAACTAATGTTAATATTTTATATAGAACTCTATTTTTCCTCTGTCGAAGATGTGTTGTCAGGCTCTTCCTTGATAAATGTGTAAGTGAACTTTAATTTAACACACCAGCAATGTCCCTTCCATCATCTAAACTTTTCCCATTAGTATCTCTGAGACACTGTACTCCTTCCTTTAATGTTCTTTTCTGTTGTAATACTGATAAAATGTATTAGTTTAGCCTCCATCACATCATTATTTATTTCTCTCTTGTACTTTGTAAAAATCTTTTCTGCCTTTGTTGATTTAATTTTAGTAATTTACTGAAGTTTTGTTTGTACGCTTGAGGAAAGGCAGTTGTATTTGTTTGTGTTTCAGGTTGTTCATCCAAGTTGGCATTGTCATCATTATATTTCTTACAGCCAGCACTGACTATAAAGCAAGGAAAGGCAGTAAATTCATAAATAACATTATCATTGCTGACCTGTATAATCACCTCTCATTTCCTTCTGCCTTACACGCACGTTCCTAAGTGTAAGAACACTTTCTAACATAACTGTTTTTCTATACCTGCGGTAAAGAAGTTGACAGCACTTTACAAGGTACACATTTGAAAGTTATAAATCGGCTTGTAACCATTGCTGTTTGGTTTATTCTTATATCTTGATATTATTGCAAATAATACTTAGCATTAGGCTTAATCTTTGTAAAACTTTATAAAACTTCAGTATACTGTATGTTTACTTTGCTTTCAAGTTAATGTTCATACTAGTTTCTTGAAATTATCGAACCGTAGTTTCTAATATTTGGAACTGTAGTTAAGAATTTTGTTTTTAAATCTTCTTCTGGAGATATGGAATCCTCATTAGTACTTTTCTTTGTGTATATGAGCAAATTAAAACTGTAGGAGCCTCCAGTACAGCTATACGTTTCTTAGGTCCTGAAATGAAAGATCAAATCTAACTCTTTGTTTTTCAACATAAAATATTTAGAAAATTGTGTCCAGTGTACTAAGAGTATGAAATAAAAAAAGGTTAATTGTAACTCCATTGGAGTTTGACGTGAAATAGACTCCATTAAATGTTGTGTTTGCTAGGGAAAAAGAATGGGAATGATCCTATTATTTATGAGGTGACAGATAACATTATTATATTTTGGTGGTTTCTACAGCTGCTTTGCTTCAGAATCTCCCTCTTAGTGTCCCACTGAGTCAAGTTCTCAGGGAGAGTGTGGCACTAACATTCCTCTAAAGCCCATGTGTGGCATATTCTGTGGGACATCACTTGAACTTCTTGATTTCAGGGCTAAAACATTAATAAATGCACCCTTTTCTAATTCAAAATGGCTTTGAAAAGCACTTTGTTTAGGATTAGTCGGATGACGTTGTGAATTAGTAATCTGGATTGTTGAACTGTAGAAACAGACCGCCCTGCCAAAAATATATTAAATGTTGTATAATTCCAAATGCTTGCAAAAGCTTTGAAGCACAAAGTGATGAGGCAATGCTTACAGAATTATCATGTGGATATCATATTGGATAGTGGATTTCTCTGCTAAAACGTGGTCTTTAAATAAAGTATCTTGATACAGAGCTCCAATATTTATGTTTTAAAATATATTTTTGGAAAACTAAGGTGTTTTATGTATTCTTAATTTCTAGTATTTATCATTTTCAGATGTGTCCCAGAGCAAGAAATGTAATGTTTCTCCCATCTGAAAACCTGCAAACTTTCAATGGATTGAAACAGATATCCACTGCAAAAACAATTTATAACTATAATGTTAATCGGAAGCCACTATTTATTTATGTGGTTATAGATGTGTGCCAGTGAAACTTTTAAAACTTCCTAAAACCGGGATCTGTTTACAGTGAACGTCAAGTTTTAATTTACACTTCTGCTTGTGAGAGTCGTCCTGTCTTTTGCAATATGAAATACTTTTATACTTTAAAAATGAGATGAACAAAGCTATTTTATACAGATGAAGAAATGCACAGTTTCTTTTCCAATTTTATACAGCTATGTTAATAGCTTTGGTTTTCATTTAAAATAAAGTTTACAAATGGATCATTTATGAGACTTTACATCCATTGAATCATTGTAAATATTCTGGAGTTCTCTGGCATTTTGGAGGATTGTATCTAGTGGAAAATACAGCGTAAATTAAAGTAAGAAAAAGACAGGAACAAACAAAAGGTTTGATAAACACATTGTTATGATCCACAAATGATCACTTCTCTGTCTAGTCTGCTGGTCTTCAAACTAATTTGACAATCTGCACTGAAGAAATTGTTTATAGTGCCTGTTCATCTGACTGAGAGCAAGGTTACTATTTCAAAATACTTTATGTAGTACATACATTGTGATCAAATACTGCTCCGAAACCATTTTAAAATGAGTAAGCCCAACAATAGTGGAACTGCGCCCATGGAAGAAATATCAGTCTTTTGTATGAATCTCTACATTAAGATGAGGACACCAAGTACAGGTGTGTTCGTGTTATAGTTAATCCTGGCATTTTTGAAAAGGTAACCAGCTCCTTTTTAAAAATAATTGAATGAAGATACTGATCAGAGAGGTGTTTGTACAGTAATGACTGATGAACATGTTCTCCTATTTCCAGGAAAGCTGTAAAACCAGTGAGTATACAGTGCATGTTGTCTACTACAACGTTTTTTATGATCCTTCTTTTGTTTCAGGGCATATAAATGTTTATCACTGAATTCAGACAGAGCAC